TCCCATTTAAAAAACAAAGTTAAAACCTTTACAATGAATAAGGGATAAACTTAAAAAGTATTACATAGTTAATAATTCAAGAATAATGTATAACTAAAGATAATCAAAAAATAAATATAGTTTAAAAAACTAAAAAAACACGCTTTTAAAGTACATCGAACTAAAAAGTTAAAAATAATTTTTAAAATAATTATGAACAAAAAATACTAGTATTATTGTGATAAAAGCGTCGGGCGCTCAATATACGAAAAATATGGCACAAAGCACCCACGCTTTTATCACAATAATACTAGTATTTTTTGTTCATAATTATTTTAAAAATTATTTTTAACTTTTTAGTTCGATGTACTTTAAAAGCGTGTTTTTTTAGTTTTTTAAACTATATTTATTTTTTACTTTTTAGTTTCATGTTATGATAGTAGTTACTATCAATATCATGGTTGTTACGGGTAACGGGAAATCAGGGTTCGATTCTGGGGAGGGAGTCTGAGAAACGGCTACCACATCCAAGGAAAGCAGCAGGCGCGTAAATTACTCACTCCCGCAACGTGGAGGTAGTGACGAAAAATGACGATACGAAAATCATCCCTCGTAATCGGAATGAATACTTTATATCTCTTAATTAAAATAAAGCGTATTAATAAATAAATTTTAATAGTAATTAGAATATATATATATATATATACAAGTAAAGCGACTTAAGTACGTAAACGTATCATGCACTAGGTATAACTGTATTTTGTGGGTGGGCGGGTCGGACTAACGTTATACCTGAAACGGTGGTAGGAATATTTAAATATATATACGTAAGGCGCATTAAACGCGGGCGGTATTGGTCAGTCAAAATAAAAATTCGTTTATATACAGAGTGATTTTTTTATCATAACCCACTCAATTACTTGCATAATAATAATAATTTAAACATTTTTTTTTTTTATTAACTTTAGTTACACATTATTCTTGAATTTTTAACTGTGTAATACTTTTTAAGTTCATCCCTTATGCCTTGGAGAGGGGTCAACTTTGTTTTTTTA